CATCAATGTAAACTTCAGTATTGCTTTGATTTGTTTTGTATACTTAGTAAATGAAATATTTTCTAAGTGTACATTTAGAGGTAGAAACAGAAAGAAAAATTCTGACGAAACAAACAATTTCATCAAAATTGACAAATTACCTAAGCCAAAATTAGTTGATTTTGAAAAATTGTTATAGAAATGAATGAAAAATTTGTTCTGCTACTGTTTTCATTCAAAATCTGTTTAATTCGGAAAATAATGCAAACAAAAATGTAGTTTTGGTTGAAAAACTTAACATTTTTTTCTTGCTCAGTGATCGTTTTCAATAACTTTTTTCAAAATTTGAGATTGTGATTGGTTGTTAAACAGCGGAAAAAAAATCAATTGTTGGAGTTATTATTAAAAAAATCATTTCAGAAAACCATCATTTGCAAAATACAAAAAATTTCTGAAAAAAAAATTTAAAACAGCAGCTGTTGTTGCTGGTATTCTTATAGGAACTTGTATTGTGGCTAGAAAAATGATCTATCGAGAGTTTTTTTAGTTCGAAAAAAGGAAAAAACTGGAAAGGGTTTCTGATAAAAAAGCGTACTGTCAGTTTTATGATCAAAAATTTTAACTACAAAAACTAAAGGTTGAGTGATCAAGGAATAAATAACAAACCGAGGGTTAACCCTATAAAAATAAAAGACATGAAAAATCATAAGTTTTGAGTGAGTCAAAAGGATTGATTTTGAAATGGTTTTCAACTAGGTTTTCATATAATCTTTGATAAAAAACTTTTTTTATGCTTCAATTTTTTAGTTATTTTAATCAAAATTTTCAAGAGATGGAAAGCTCGATTCTGATTGGTTGATATCAAAATGGCTCAAAATTCCGTTGTAAGTGAAAAAGCGATTTTAACTTATTTCTTTCAAATGTATAAAGTTTCCACAATGATTAAGGCTCCGAACTGATTGCTTGATATCGAAACTGTTGAAAGTTCCAGACAAATTGGTCAGGCAAATTGCCATTAATGTTTACCTTTGATCATTTTTTGGATCCCTTCAAGTCTGATACTAAATTGTTTGGGGTTTTCAAAATCTCCAATTTCTTCTAAACTTCTTTCTTTCTTTTTTGAGATGAATAAAAACGAAAGAGTTACATGTCTTGAGTGTGTTAGACACTATACACGTAAAAATCTGTAGAGTGTTAGAGTGATTCGATTTTTACTTTTCCTACACATAGCAGCAAGGAACTGAGTATTCACTTAAAGAAGCAGCATTCTTCTTGTCAAAAGAACTTTCTACATAATGATAGAAAGCAATTTAAGCAGTCTCCAAACACACTCCACGAGAAGGTAAAATTTAAAAATTCAATATAAAACGTAGGACAAATTACCATAATAATTTTAACTGAATCTCAACAGAGTTCAAATTATCGTAAAATTCTCATTGGAAATTGAAACAAAAATCATTATTTTATAATTAGATTTGTATTGGTGGCTTACTTACAAAAATAATGTTAAAATTGCAGTGAACGCAAATACTCTGAAAACAAATCGTATTGGCTAAAAACTTTTCATTGAAAAGTACATGAATCTTATAAAACATCGATTAATTGAATTGTCTTCCCTAGCTATAATTGTATAGGTTTCCTAGTTGGTTGTCGTTGATTGCGTTTATGGAGTATCCAGTTTTTGAACAGACTCTGAAAATTATTGAGATTGAAGTTTTTTCGATTGTTTTCCAACCATTTTGGAAAAAAATTTACAAACTGACGAATATCAGAAAAAAATTAGATGTCTCAGCTATAGTTTCCAGATTAATACTTATACAAATCTGAACTAAAAAATCTTTCCAAAAATGTAGGGGAAAAAAATACAGTTATCTGCTTCAGAAGATTCTTAGTAAAAAGATTTTTTTATGCTAATTTTGCTTTGGATTAGTGAACTTTTGTTGAAATTATACAGTTATCTATCAAAAAGTCACATTTGAGTGAAGTGTTATTCAAATTGGAATGGAAAACACTCAAAATGAGAGATAGTATATCAAGCAGTAACCAAAAACATTTTAATTTTGAGTTTGCATGAAACTAATGTTGAAATTCAATTTAATTATTTGTGAGTTTCGAGAAAGGTATTTTTGATTTAATGTTATGATTAAAAATCTAAGAAAAACAATCAGAAGTCAAAACTCTCAATTACAGACATTGTAAGATTTTTGTTGAGTTTTTGTTTCCTTCGCTATATGAATTTAGTGAGAGTATGAAAAAATTAGGTTGTTCAAGCAGATTCTCTTTAAATTTCTTTTGGAGACAAAAATGAACGGGTAATTGATACAATTTTCCATTAAACTGTCTTCCTAGTGTTAAATTTTATGAAAAACAAGTTCTTTTAGTGGAAAATACATACAGCAGTAACCAAAAATCTCCATTCAAGTGGTATATTTATTTGAACTGTCAAAGAAAAACTACTAAAAAGCTCTGCTGTAGAAATAATTTTGGGAAATAACAAGACTCATTGAGGACTAGAAAAGATGAATATGTAGAACAATTTCAGATTTTTAGAAAAGTGTACATAATCACCAATTTTGTTGAGGAACAGATATATTTTTTTGAATTTTAGCATAAAAAACTCCTCCAAACTTGATTCATATAGGAACCTAACATGATAATTGTGATAAAAACTTGGATAAAATTTGTGTTTGTTGTGAATTAGCAGAAAATTGAATTATTCTCAGAAATAACACTTCAGTTAACCAATTTGGATTTGTATATAAAAATTTTAACGTTGTCTCTTTTGAATGAATTTTGATGAATCTTTATTAGAAATCCTTGTCAGAATCGAATCATGGAAAATTTCACTAACATTTCAAAAATTGATATTGAAATTAAATTGTTGAGCTGATTTCGTTTACAATATTGATACCGCCTAGGCCCAAAATTAGTAGCAAAACAGATATAGAGCTTAAAAATATATAAGTTTTGAACTGAGTCTAATTTGATGACGTAACTGTACGTAACACTTTTCAAATTATGAGTTTTGACAATTTTTCCAGGTTTTCGGAAGTTTCAGCTGAGTTTCAATTAGATTTCAGCATAGTTTTAGGTAGATAGAGCACTGCTTGAAATTTAGAATCATCTAATAAATATTTAATAGGTCGAACTATACCAAATCTTTTTTGAAGTTTTTTAGGAAAATTTTTAATTTTTTTTGATAAAAACTCTCAATTTTTGTAACTGTTACCCTTGATTTATAATGAAGCAAAAAGTAATTATGACTTCATTCCACAATCTAAACCTAATAAACCATTGTTACTTACCAATTACATAACGCGCGCCGAAATTTTTGCAAAAATTTAGACCTTTCCGCACCAAATACCATTTTTCTTACCGTTCTCTCACCATCACACAAACAATGAAACCTTACGAATTCTATTACCTTTCTGAATACATAGTAGGCTTTTTACTTTTTTTAGTACATAGCAAGATCGAATCAATAAGGTACATAGGGTCAGCCATGCACCCTCCCATGTTAGCTCCAACATCTACTGCTCAACTTAAAACCAAACATTTTAATATCCATTTATTTTTTTTTGAATTTATATGTAACAATTAATCAGTTTTTCTCTGATAAATTTGACAAATCCCGAAGAAAAAAACTTCGAAGTAGATTCAGAATTAATGTTTGGGTTAATTTAAAACCATAGGAGTATCTAGAATACAAAGAAAAAAGTGTGAATTTCGTATAAATTTATGCTGAGCTTTCGTTGCGGCGAAATTGTAAGTTATGAAAAAAAAATTTGCGTTCAAATTAATCAAAACGGCGATAAATATATGGCGTTCTAATTCAATAAACTGTCAACTGGTAATTTTAGTTTTTGATGAGCAATTCAACTCCATTTCAAAGTAAATATTTGAGTCTCAATTCCTGATTGCAAACTTTACTGCTAAAAAATCTCAGAAAACTGTCATTACGACACCAAGCTCGTTTTTAAAGGTCGAAGTTTTGAAAAAGGATCAAACGATTGATTCTAATGTTCAATGTGATTTTAGCAAAACTGTAGAAGAGTCCTCTGGTACTGTCTGGACAATCCGTGACTAATCAAATCTCGCGTGGTTAAACTGATTTTTGAAGCCAGTTAATGATGAATTATCTTATTTTTTTATTTGCCTAATTATTGTGACATAGTAACTCTCTGCGCGCTCAAGACTTGCCGTATAATTAGAGAGAAAGTTTCAGGAGTGGATTAGGAAAAAGGGCTCTAACGAACTAACAACTGAAAAAGTTTAATTTGATGCCGTTGTGACTTATCTCTACAAGGCACTAGAGCCGGGCAAACTGTAACTATGCGGGCAATTGGAACCGTGCAAACATTGACTTTAACAAAGTGTGTAAAACTAAAACAGAAAAATCATTTTACTCAATTCTGAACAGTTTGACTTTCTCAAGTTTACATGTTGATTAACTATAAATTTATCTTAATTTGGTTAGGAATCTAAGATTTAGGAATAGACTTGGAATATATCATCATAAACTGGTCCGCCGGCTAAATTGGATAGGGTTACACTGAATTTCATTAAAATTTTAGGATAATAGTTAGTCGGCGGTCAGGTATCCGGACAACTTAGGCCCCCACATTCAACTTTAATGACATTTCGGAGAAGTTGAAAGGTGGATTAACCACTGGTAGACCCGAAAGTTGTCCCAAGAATCGGTATTAGATTTTTTTTGAAAATTACTGAATAACAACAAAAAATTCACGTTTTTTCTTCAGTGGCTCCGCGCGACGCTACGCTTTCTTCATTTTTTAGTAACTTTTTGGTTCTTTGGGTTCGTTTCTGTCCCCGTGCCGACTTTTGTTTTTGCCTTTTCCTTTTGCATGAAGTATCTCCCACTGAAATACTTCTCTGGTTGGAAACAGTGGGCACCAACGACAGACTACTTCATCTGACATTTCACCACAGATTTGTCAACAATCCCCTTTGAGGAATAGAAAAAGCAAAACCACGAGTGAAACATCGACACTCACAGTGACATGACCGAAAATTTGGAGCACCTCAAACGCTCTAGAGCAACTCATCGACGCGTAGTAATCAAATACTACAATGAAGCAAACACGACTATTCAAAATCGCGGAACTCTTGATGAAACTGGAGTAGCAAGACTTGAGCAACCGGAAATCAGCATCCGCAAGAAACAGGACCACACCTCAAACTCCAATAGCAATATACAGGAACAGATCACAGATGAACAGCCACTAGACGATGAGATCCAAGAAGCAGAAAGTTTGGACGACAAAAATGGACAGTACGTTCATCAAAATCAACAGTTTCTTCAAAAGCTCAAAACACCGACAGGAGTTTCTACAAATACCGTTCGATCAATAGATGTGAATGTCAAATTACCAAAAGTAAATTTGCCGGTTTTCTCTGGAGGAAACATGGAATGGAAATCGTTCTTCGATATGTTCAAAGAAGCTGTGAATGACAACACGAGACTGACGAAGAACCAAAAGCTACATCACTTGAAATCTTCTCTGACTGGAGACGCAGACAAACTACTAAATTCCATAACGATTACGGACGACAATTTTGACATCGCCATTGACTTTCTGGGGAACTGATACGACAACAAACGTTTGATTTTGCTATCACATTTGCAAGAAATCTTCAAGCAGCGTTCGTTGACAACCGGAAACTCTAAAGATCTTCGAGCTATCACGGAAACAACGGAGGAACACCGACTCGCTTTGCTTAACCATGGACAACAGTGGATCAACAGGATAATTTTTTTGTTTACCTTCTGACAGAACGACTTCCCATTGAAACACGGAAAACTTGGGAAACTTCTACACCAGGAAAAGAACCTCAGCGATACAACCAGCTTAAGAAATTTCTCGAAAAAAGATACCAAGCTCTTGAAACATCATCTTTGCGATCGACATCGTTTGGTAATCAACAGCTCGATAGGAAAGGAAATAAAAAAATGACACCAAAGACGGTTTAGACAAATCTAGCTACAGCAGACAACGACAAATGCGAATGTTATGGAAAGAAACACCGGATCTACCGATAAGACAGCTTTAAAACCTGTCAATCAAACACAGATCTCAACTGATCAAAGTGAAACAGCTGTGCTTCAACTGTTTTTGACCTGGACATCGAATTGAGGATTGTTCTGGATCTCGATGCAAAGAATGTGGACAGAAGCACAACGCTCTTCTTCATCGAGAGCAGAAACAACCAGACACTGGACTACAGCAGACTTCAGCAACTCATGAAAAATCTCAGGATGAAGTTTTTCTACAAATTGCGATCATTCTACTCGAGATCAATGGAGAAACTTTTGATGTTCGAGGAGTACTGGATTCAGCATCACAGAACAACCTGACAGCAGAAGCAGCTGTTCAGCGTATACAGGATTTGCGGAGTTGCAGGAAATGAAGTTTGCGAAAACAAGGGACAAGTTCATCTACTCATCGGGCCCTCAGACAATGCACCAATCTCAATAACAGCATCCATTCTTCAAAAGCTAACCAATCATTTGCCTTCGAGGCGAATCAACATCGACAAATGGACAACAGTGAAGGAATTACAATGGGCCGATCCCGGATTCAACGATCCACAGGAAATTGACATGATCATTGGATCAGCACACTACAAGAAAGAATCCTCCAGAAAGTTCTAGAAAAAAAACTGTGGACACCAGAGAAGCTTAATTGTGAGGAACACTTCAAAGCAATAACTAAACGCAGGCCAGATGGACAATTTCTGTTAAAACTGCCAAACAAAGAAGCAGTTGGACTACTTGAAGACTCACTACAGTAGGCTCGCAGACGACTACTTAGTTTACTCTTTCGTTTGGAAGGGAACCCTGAGCTCTACAAGAAGTACAATAACTTCATCAACGAGTTTAATAACCTTGGCCATATAGAGGAGGTTCCAGATAGCGAGTTGGTGCGACCGCACTATAACTGTTTCTACAAGCCACACCATTGCGTTTTCAAGGATTCAAGCAGGACAACAAAACTTCGAGTAGTTTTTAACGCATCAGCAAACACAGCATCTAGAATATCACTCAACGACAAACTGATGGTTGACCCTACAGTTCAAAAAGACCTCTTTAGCATTCTGATTCGCTTCCGGATGCATCAGGTTGCAATTTCAGCCGACATTGCGAAAATATACCGCCACGTGGAGTTGGAAGAAGAAGATAGAGACCATCATCGAATCTTTTTTAAACATCAAAACTCGACAGAGGTTAGGCACTACCGAATGACCAGAGTTACGTATGGAATTGCTTCTTCAGCCTTTTCATTCGATACGACCTCTTCAAGTGCTTGCTGAAGAAAGTGATGACGACTCATTTACGATAGCAACACTCAACGACATGTACGTAGACGACCTTTTCCCAGGATCTTCAGATACTGAATCAGCAATTCAACTACAGCATGGATTCCTTAATACACCCGGTAAAGCTGGATTTGAAATTCGCAAATGGACATCAAACGACACGAAGCTAGTAGAACGACTCCCATTGCACTATCGAGAAGCAGCAGACGAACTGATAATCAAAAGTGACGAGTATGTCATCAAAACACTTTTAATCAAATGGAACCCCGAGCCAGATCATTTTAGTTTTGCAGTTAAATTAAGCGAACAGATCCCGTGACCAAAAGACAAACACTCTTAGAAGTCACGAGACACTTTAACCCCCCTTGGATGGCTTTCGCCTACGACGATTCAACTGAAATCATTGATACAACTCATGTGGATGGACAAGATCTCGTTGGATCAAACGATATTGGTCAAATTACAGGAACACTATGGACGCCTTCGACAGCAGCTTACGGAACTGGAAGACATCAAGTTGTCTCGCCGAGTTCTTCTAGCGCAGACAATCAAAGACCTTCAACTTCATGTTTTCTGTGACGCAGCAACTACAGCAAATGAAGCTGTCGTGTATATGAGACAACAAACCAGCGAAGGTACCACACACGTCAAAATATTGACCGCAAAAACACGAGTTGCGCCTATTAAATGCATTTGTGTTCCACTCATGTAATTTTGTGCATCACTTCTTGCATCGAAACTTGTGGAAGAAACTCTAGTCGCCATCAGGGACAAGCGTTTTATCATACCAACTGTTTTCGCGTGGAACAACTCTCAAGTTACAATTGCGCATTTACGAGAATTTCCTCGCAAGTGGAAGACTTTCGTTGCTAATCGAGTAGCAAAAATTCAGGAAAATCTACCAGCCGAGAAATGGAAATTTGTGCCGACGAAAGACAATCTAGTTGATTGTGCTTCTCGGGGAATTTCTACATCAGCTCTAGCATATCATGAACTTTGATGGAATGGACCATTAAGGCTCTCACAGTCATCAGACAACTGGCCGAGTGCAGAATCAATCTCAGCGGAGACGACACAACAAGAAACCAGTACAATTGAAGACAGCGGATCTGTTACAATGGTGACAGTGGAAAAAGAGAACAGAGTCTTAGATCTGTTGACCGGGTAAATATCTTAGGCTACGTCATGAGATTTGTTAAAAACTGCAGAACTCATCCCAAACTGGACTTTCAAGCTGCAGTTCAAAACGTAGCATACGCAACAACTGCTACATGAGGTATTCATACTCGGGATGGTTTTTGCAGAAGGTTCGGTTTGGGGACAGAAGAAAGCGACAATGCCCGGGAAAGATATGATCCAAAAACAGGTGTTGGTACAGGGGTAGGTTTTGGTACTGAGAATAATCGGAAAAACTCATGGAAAAAACGATATTGATACCAGGTTTGATAATGGTACAAAACGTAAGATTGCAGACGGTTAGTTACCGGGATGGTATTGAGAAGTTAGGTACCTGGAGAAAAAAGCGAAATGACGACCGGTAAGGTTATGGTTCAAAAACAGGTTTTAGTACAGGAGTAGGTTTTGGTATTATGAGTAATCGAAAAAACCCAATGAAAAAACATAAGGAAACCCGGAAGTTAATGGTTCAACGGCAGGTCTTTGCAAAATTGGTGGTATTCGTAAAGGTAAAGCTATGAATAGGGATAACGCATTAGTACTGGATGCTAAAGTAAAGGAACAGGGACAAGACCAGATGATGGAACAAGTGTGGGTACTGATTTCGATGCAAACACGAATTCTGTTAGTGCCACTGATTGTCATTCTGGTGAAATTGCACGTAGGAAAATTTGAGGTAAAGGAACGGGATTGGATTGCAGATGATTTGGGGAAGCTAGACTGCAGATTTCGCAGCAATCGCTAATCGCGCGAAGGCAACAATTCCATCGATCAGAATCTCAGGGAGCATAAATAACGACAACACAACTGACGGCTCACGACAATGGGAACTTAGTGAAGTTCAATCAGGGGAACGACGACAATTCAGAGGAACTGCATCAATTGCCTAAAGCTGAAAAACTTTCAGCCGTGGAAGTTAAGTAAGCTCGCACGACTCTGTACAGCTTGGTTCAGCAGCATCATCTAGCTGAGTTTCAACTTATCAGGAAAGGGAAACGTATTCCAAGGAGCATCAACCTTCTGAGCCTTTCACCCTTCTTCGACAATAAGAGCAACAAAATTCGTGCTGGAGGACGCCTCGCCAATTCACCAAATGACATCAACAAAAAGTTTCCGATGGTCATTCCAAGGAAATCACCAATTAACAAATTGCTCATTAGGGAAGCGCTTGAAATATCGCTTCATAGCGGTCCTCCGATGACACTCTACACCCTTCGAAAAACAGTATGGATACCATGAGTCTTCGCGTTGGCCAAACAAGCAATTCATAAACGCGAGCCTTGCATTCGACCGAATGCAAGACTTCTTCAACCGGAAATGGGAGATTTGCCGCTCGAAAGAGTGGTAGAGTCTTTTACTGTCCGCAGCACAGGACTTTTCTACGTCAAAGTCAGCAGCAGTCAAGAAAATATACTATATGTGGCCATCTTCATTCGCTTTGCAACTAAAGAGTTCACATGGAAACTCTCTCACAAGGGACGATTGCTCAGACGCTGTAAAAAGAGTTTAAAGAAATCTTCAGCACCTTCCCCAATGATAACTCAGTTTCATGGTACACTATTCCACCAAAAGCGCCACACTTCGGAAGATTTTGGGAAGCGGCAGTGAAATCGTTGAAACGACATTTCTTCCGAACAGTTGGGAAAACGCGACTACAACTTCATCCGTTCCTGACAGTTCTCATACAAATTGAGGCCATCCTCAATTCAAGGCCATTTGTTACGCCATCTACTGACGTCAATGATGCACTCGCTTTAACGCCAGGAAAATTTCTCATCGGAAGACCATTGACAGCAATCCCAAGTTGTACGTACGACAAGAAGACATCGCTCAGTCGACAAAGCAAAACCATTGACAACATAGTTCGACATTTTTGGAAACGCTGGAAAGTAATACACTTGACTTCTATGCAGCAAAAAGCTAAATGGACGACATCGCCATCACGACAATTCGCCATTGGAGACATTGTTATTGTCAAAGAGGACAACATCCCGCCTTTGACGTGGCTAATGGGTCTTTGATGCAAATGACAACATCATCCGGGTAGCACAAATCAAAACCCGAACAGGACTATACAATTGACCAGTCAACAGAT